TTTTTAAAATTATTTTCAATTTAATGCTTAATAAATTTTTATCCTTTTTTGTATTAAATTAAAATAAAATAAATTAAATAAATAATTATATTTATTAATAAAAAATAAAAAATAAAGGTTTTGGTGGGTGTTATATTTACAATATATTGTCGAGTTCAGTTAATAAAAATAAATAGAAAAAACACTGTTATATGAAGAAAAATAACAGTCAAAATTTAGATACATAGTTGAAGACTGCAAAATGTGACGCTGGCACAGCTGACTGAAAATCTCTTGTCTTTTGAGTCCGCCAACAATGTAACAAAGTTGCCCATCGCCTTGCTCAGTGCAGCTTGTGCTTCCTCTAGTTTTTCATGTTTGGAATGATTAAAATTTTATACGATCAATATGGCTTTTAAAAAACTTTATAATAAATTATTTACAGTCCAAGTTTTTATTTATAATACAAATTCTCCTTTCAATCAAATTAGAGAAAATTTTTGTAGCGAAATGCAGTAATAAGGAAAGAGACAATAATGTAATTATTAAAGAATTTTTATTCTTATCATATAAATTCCAAGTATATATGTGACAAAGAGTTTTGTGTTTTTATAATCAAATTATCAACACTAGTAAATGAAGACAAAAATTTAGGTGATCAGAGAGAGGAGGAGAAAAGAACAACCTTAATCTGGCCTGGCTGCTTACAGCTCTGTCAGCATCTTGTGACTTATGGTTCACATGCGTCTCATTGACCCACCTTCCAATTAATTATTAATTTCCTTCCAAATCAGAAAAATAATAATAATAATAATTTCATTAGAATTAATAAAATTTAAATTTTTAATTTTAATTAAATAACTTAATACTCCAAGCTTAATTGGTAGCGTTCGTGCACGTCCAGAATTTTTTTTTCATTAATTTAATTAAATTCTTTTCTCCAAATAATAATAAATTTAATGATAATAAAACATTAACGTCTTACTTATTTCAAAACATATATAATATTACCCCCCCCCCCCCCCCATAAAGACAAAACACTTTGCATGTCTTCTCTCCCCAGTCCGAAGCCTTAATTCTGTGAACTGGGTCCTGTTTGACCCGGCAATCGGGTCGGGTCTCTCCTGTTTGACTCGTTTAATTTCCACGATGACGAACAAAACGGGTGTTTTTGGCTCAATAGAAGTCCCAGTTTTTCTTTTGGAAAGACAAGTTTAAAACGGCAGATGTGTATGGGAGGGAACTGTTTTAAACGGCAGTTCTAATCTCCCAGCAGCTTCTTCAACGGTTCAAATTCAAAATCTACACTTTTAAAGGTAAAACATAAAGCCATCCTAGACCGTTGCCTTTTATAGTTTCTGTTTATACACGTTACTATATATCGTTAAAGATTTCTGCTTTATACATCACAAGTTTCAGTGCATTATTTAGGCTTCTGATCAAAACAACGACCTCTGAGAGACTCTCTTTAGCTTTTATGTTTGCAAGAAAGAGAACAAACCCATTATTTTTTCTTCTTTTCTTTTCCTTTTTCTTTCTTAAATTTCTTTTTTTTTTTTTCTGCTGCAAATTCAATTATTTGAGTGAATTCCCCGGTTAAAGTTTCAGATTCTGATTCCTTCTAAATACCCAATACTCAACTTCTCTTGAAAATGAATCATCAAGTCTCAAAAACTCCATGATTATATTATGCAGAGTTGAGTTACTTCTCCCGTACCTGCACTAAAAATGGATAACTCATTCAGTTCTGATGAGAACTTTGACCTGGGTTATCAACCCTCACCATCTTCTATCGATCAGAACGATCAATCAGCTGCAGAAACTCCGGTTTACTCGACAATGAGTGGTGATTCTTTGGTGTATTGCCGGACTTATTCACAGACTTCAGGCTTCTCAGATCCAACTGACGATCACACCTGCTACTGCAGTGAACCTTCGCCCTCTCACTGGCCTGTTAACAAATCTGGAGGTGCCAGTAATCATCCAGTTCTTACCAGGCTGGGAATGAAACAGCACAAGAATGATAAGCTTGATGACCAAGAATCCGCAGAAGCTGGTGATTTTTTCTTCATTTTCATCTGCAGATAATTTATTGATGACTTATTCTCCTTGGAGTAAAATTGTTGTGACACGAACTTGATCTGGAAATTTTGCAGAACTTGAGATGATGAAGGAAAGATTTGCAAAACTATTGCTGGGAGAAGACATGTCAGGGAGTGGAAAAGGAGTCTGCACCTCAGTCACTATTTCAAATGCCATAACTAATCTCTATGGTATATATAATAAAAAAAGATGTATTGTTTCAAGCAGAATTTCAGAGACAAAAAATTCTCGTTTTAGTTTCATATCTATTTTGTTACTTTCCCAGCCACTGTGTTTGGACAAAACTTGAGATTAGATCCTCTGAATCTGGAAAAGAAGGCGATGTGGAAGCGAGAAATGGAATGTCTCCTTTCTGTATGTGATTACATAGTGGAATTCATTCCTAAGTCGGGAAATTTAGGTGATGGAGCTATTGTTGAGGTAAACTTGCAATATTAGATAATAAATTCGTTAATTTTCTAATAGTTTAAATTTTGAAAACAAATTAATTGATTTTTATTCTCTGAAGTACAAGACTTCAAACTTTAATGTTTGAATCTGACTATCACTTCATTCTTGTTGATCAATTTCTTTTTCATTTGTTAACACTGATTTTTTTGGACATTTAGGTAATGGAAAGTAGGCCAAGAGCGGATATATACATCAACCTTCCTGCCTTGAAGAAGCTTGATGCAATGCTCATAGTAAGACCATGAATGTTCTCTGATTATCTCCCAGGCTGTCTTAACTTACCAATATTTTATGCTTATGTGACAGGAAATACTAGACAGTTTCCAGAATAAAGAATTCTGGTATGCAGAACAGGGTAGCATGTCGTCAAATTCAACTCGTTCAGGCTCGTTTCGAAGAGTTATTGTTCAGCGAAAAGACGAGAAATGGTGGCTGCCAGTTCCCTGTGTGCCCAAAGTAGGTCTTTCAGACAAGTCAAAGAAACATCTGAGACACAAACGTGACTGTGCTTACCAAATTCACAAAGCTGCTATGGCCATTAATAGTAGTGTTCTTGCTGAGATGGAAATTCCAGATTCATATATGGCAACCCTTCCTAAGGTTAGTCATTTTCATGATCCATTTCATATATATAAGAGTTATTCAGTGATTTCTCAGAAAATCATGGAATTAATTTCCTTCAAATTCCTTGTCTTTCAGAGTGGGAAATCAAGTCTCGGAGACTCAATCTACCGGTACTTGTGCTCCCCAGACAAATTCTCCCCAGATTATCTGCTTGATTGTCTCAACATCGCATCTGAACATGAAGCTCTTCAGCTTGCAGACAGAGTTGAGGCTTCTATGTACACTTGGCGACGCAAAGCATGCATAAGCCACTCAAAATCATCATGGGACATGGTGAAAGATCTCATGTCTGACACAGATAGAATCGACAAGAACCATTTTTTGGCTGGAAGAGCAGAGAGCTTGTTGTTTTGTTTGAAGCAGAGGTATCCAGAGTTGTCACAGACATCTTTGGACACCTGCAAGATCCAGTACAACCGGGTAAGTATCAAATCACATGTACATTGTTAGAATTAGTCAAATAACTGTTATGTAAGTGGAGTAAGATAATGCACCAGTTGGTCCTTAGAAATAGGATCGTGGTGATAATGGAACCATGTTTTTCTATGTAATCAGTTGAATCAATCTCAATATAAATAGAACTGCTCTCTATCGAGAGTTGTGTGGTTGGTATAATCATTTCATACATTATGTCGTAAAACCAGCAAACCATGTCATTTTTCATTTTCTCGACACTTTGTGTTGCCAAAGATGATATTAAGCTCTAAAATTGATCGAGAAAGAAACCCAATCACACTAAACAGGCTCATAAGAATCAATAGATTTATCTTGAGGCTAGCATGTCAGACAAGATTGTGTGTGAAAATAACTAAACTATTTTTTTTTTCTATTTGCAGGATGTGGGACAGGCAATCCTTGAGAGCTTTTCAAGAGTCTTAGAAGGGTTAGCATTCAACATTGTAGCTTGGATTGAAGATGTTCTTTATGTAGACAGGACCATGAGAAATCAAGATCAATAATACCTGCTACCTAGTTTCATCTATCTACCCAACAAGTTGAAGCAACATAATAAATTAGCAAGAACATAACCCCGCCTATGAACACAAAATCTAGAGAATCAGACCTGAAAATTACGTGCTTCTTTGCATGTGTTTAGAGCTTAGTTGCTGTTAATTGTCATCAAACTTGTAAATGAAAAGCCACTAAGACAGAATCCAGAATATCTCCAGGATTCTTCTGCTTTCAGTATCAGACTATTATGATTAGACAATGTTGCATATGTCCCATTTTGCAGAATCTATTAAAGCAAGACTCCGTATGAAACATTCAAGACAGTTTTCCGTTTCACGGATAAGCTAACAATATTGAATTTTCAAGTTCACACAAAAAATACCCAGTCGGTGATTCATCATGAACTATACACTAACTATACAGTAATCACCAATGACCTTTCAATTATTTCAAGAATCACATTCAACATTCATCAGGAACTGTACACTAACTAAACAGTAATCAGCAATGACCTTTCAATTCTTTCAAGAATCACATTCAACATTCATATGGGTTGCCATGAATCCTCTTTTTCAAGCTTGGTAGCCGTTAATTTCTTCAAACATCTGTTAAAGAACCTCTCTTGCGCCTAAAAGGCCCGATTGATTGTCTTGGAGGTGGAGGAGGGTTTTGAGAAGTAGAAGAAGAAGATAGAAAAGCTTCTATTTTTGCCTTGCATTTTATATGATCTCCTTTGTTCTCTTTTAAACATTTCTTTAGAGCCTCCTCTGCTTCTTCTTTAGGCACTGTCTTCTTCTTCTTCTCTGTTGCAGTCTCACCACCACCACTACCATTGCTTTCGCCCTTGTCACCCTCCATTGTTGCGGGTACCCCACAAGCTTTAAAACACGAATCACCAGCTTCTCCGCTCTGGAAACACCATCAAGAATCCCTAAAGAGGTTTAAATAACCGGAAACAAATCAGAAAAGTCCGATCACAGAGTCAATTCTTGGCTGCTAAGAAATAACAAGGAGAATCGGGTGTTGACCCACAAAAGTAACAATTTTGGTTCCTTCTCCCTTGGTCTCCTCCTTTTTGAAACTTACAAATAACCCATTTAATCGAATAAAGAAAACTTAGTCTACAAAGAATCAAGCCAAGAGAAAAATAAAAAATAAAAAAACGGAAGAATCACCCAAGGAGTGAGAAAAAACAAAGGAAAAAAAAAAAAAAGAGGAGCAAGAGAGGGAAGAGGTCATAGACTCACCGTGCAGAGAAGAAGATGGTGATTCGAAAGGTTAAAAAGTTCAAAGATTTGAGGAGTTGGAATCTTGTTGTGTTCTTGGATCTCTTGGTTTTGGGTTTGGGACTTGGAGGGCAGCTTTACAAGAGGACTTAAAAAATTTAGTTAGAAAACCAACACTCATGCAGATATAGACTAATGAACTAGTTAGGACACGCGCTTAATTAAATTAAATATTTTTACTAATTTGCTGCCTGCTGAGATACTTCCTATTACCAGTTTTTAACAAAAAAATTTTTTTTAAAAAAAATACTTTTTCAAGGAATAAGTTTCCTTTTTACAGAAGTTTAATCTTATATTTATCGTATACCTAACAATATAATAATGTAAGCATCTGGGCGCAAATAGATAATAATAGATTAGAAAGTATAGGATCTATATTTTAGGACACGTGGACGGAGATTAAGATGGGTATTTAAGGACTGAAATTAGGATTTCTGGAGATTCTACGTTTACCCTCGGTTTGAATGACGGTAAAATGTGGTTCATTAATATATGATATGGTAGTGAGATATTAAAATCATACTCTGTTTGAATGATGGTAAAATATGATTCATTAATATAGGATATGGTAGTGAGATGTCAAAATCATATTTGTTTGTTGATGTTATTATTACTTTAGGATTTTTTTATGGTATTTTAAAGATAAAATTTGAACAACTTTTTAAAACCACAAATTTAATAGTATTTTTGTTCAATTTATACACTCATTAAATTTTTATAATTTTTATTTTACCTTCGAAAAAAATCCTTCTCAACAATTCAACCTACTTTTTTTTTCTTTTCTTCTTTTTTCTCTTCTTCTCAATCTGTTTCTTTTTAAATTTTTTTAATTTATAATTATAAATTAAATATTATAATTTTAAATTAATTTTTTATACTAACTATAAAAAATAAATTTTTATTCTTCATAATAAATTTATTTTTTAATATTTAAAAAAAATCAATAAAAATTATAATTTAAATAATTTTTTATGTTAAATAACTTAATTACAATTTAAATAAAAAAAATTTCTCCTTCAATACTACATACATTAAAACATGGATAATTTGATAATTTAATTTAATATATAACTATATCAATCTATCAATTTAAACAAAATAACTGTTATTAACATATATTAATATGTTGTCTTTCCAAATATGTCATAATCTATCAATTATCATACTGCACATTTACCTTATATTAATGAACCATCACAAAAATTATCCAAACAGAACATTAATTCTGTATTTTGATCATGATAAATGGTATAATTTTAATGTATGATATTTTACAGGCGTGAGAAAACTATATTTATTTCAACTTCTAGTTGTAACAAATGATATTTGACTGACAAATTTTGG